GGGGTTGTGAGATTTTAATGCAAAATATTGAAAATAATTTGTGAGAGTTTGAAAATGGCCTGCTTTGTGTCATAGGTTTCGTGTGTTGTGCTTTGTGTCACTTCTGGTGCAGCGAGACAATGATTCAGCAACACTGATTGTAGTGTGAACTGGTGTAGTATTGTCGCTTTTCAGTGTATTCAGTTGTCCCTGTTCCATTGTAACACAAGAGTGAACTGTGGTAGTACACCATTATTGTTTTTGCAAATTTGTATATATCTTTGTGATTTTTTTCGTGACCCAAAAAATATAATCATAAATGGGGTCGTGAATTAAAAAAGTTTAAGAAGCCCTGATTTAAACTCATACTGATGTAGATATTGTCAGAGATAGTATTTAAAATAACTTTTTCCTCCAAGCAGGTTATTTTTATGAAAGGAGAAAAAACTAGCACCAAATTGGCACAAACACATAATTACAGTAAGCTTACATTCCACCTGCAATTTTCCGGTGGTGGCGGCGGCGGCGGCAAGTGCCAGAGGCAAACGTTCAGTGACAAAGATATAGAAATTTATTCTGTTGATAGTAGTAGTATTTGTGTCTATGCAAAGGAGACGGTCGGATGCTAATATGTTGGCCAATTAGATTCACTGTCACACTTGAATGTGGTGAATAGTAAGATTCTATTGTTCTGACATCAGATATAATCACTTTATTAGCTATCCAAAGAAAAATGTTCCTTAGTGGTATGGCAAGCCACTAGAAAAATGCTTTTTGGGTTGTTTCTGTATTAACTGGAAACTTGCAATTGAAATCAAGGCTTTAGTGTCGACGACACTAGCATAATTTCTCAACCACGTGAAATAAACATTAGCATACATCACAAACCTGAATATGACAAACAGCTTGATTTTAACAAAAATTTAACTCAGCTTTATTTAGGATTTGTATTTCTTATTAGGCAAAATCAAGTGTTTCTGTTTTGCCTAATAAGAAAAAAATATGAAGAAAAGAAGAAAATATGAAGCATGATGTAAAGCACATAGTGGAAACTTTAAGTACACGTGGAGAGCAACAATGAATTATTAACCCATGTCAGTTACTATGTGGTCATTTTGACCCAGACACTTTTAAAGTGCCATAAAATAAAAATTTAATTTTTCAGGTTCATTGCTATATGTATTTTCTTTTGCTGCCTCAAGAATATACAGGGTGATCAGAATCAACCACGCAATTATCATACCACACGATTCCATGTCGGTATCGTGTGGTATGATAATTGCATGGTTGATTCTGATCACCCTGCCCCCATAATAATAAGTCTACAGTATTCAGATTGGGTAATCTATCAGGCCATGTGACGAACACCACAGAGAAACCTAAGGGATACTTTGGTGTTTTTTAGAGCTAAAATTCTGAATGACTGGAAGTGACGTCATAAATCTTTTGATGAAAGTAGTTCTGGAATGCCACATCTAATAATAATAAAAAAAAATAACACTTTTTTCAGTTTGTTTCTGACAAGGAATCATGCGATATGATTATTGTGTCTCGATTCAGATCACCTGTGTATACACATACTAATGGAAGGAGACTTAAATATCCTAAACCAATAAAGAAATGTTTGTATGACTTCAAAATGTATAAAAACTGACACCATGGTATCTTTTTGTTACATGGCACTTAAAAACTAGAACTAGATATTAATTACTTATTTTGAGCGACTTTGTTAGTTCTTGCACTCTGGGCCTAATTGTGTTTATATTCTGGTACAAACTATTAGTTTCTCACTATTGTAAAATTTTTTTACTTAATAAATTTGTATATTATCGAGCATTGTCAGACGCGTGTTGCATTACTATAGAGTTAATACAGTCAAGTTCCAGTAGGTTCAGCACAACTGGAAAAAGGGACTAAAAGATCAAGATGTCGTTCACATCTCGGCAATAGAGATGGTAAGACAAGCAGCCGGTACAAAAAAGAAATAAGCATTTGTGGTAATCACAGTAAAATCATCTGTAGAGATTATGAAACTTTATTTAAATAATTCATAAATTTTTGAACTTAAATAAATAATTTCTCTAACATGTTTTTATTTCATTTGAAATTTTAACAATTTTGTGTCTTTCTGGAAAAAAGAACTGGCCTGGGAGGGGGTTGAATTTTGTGTCATTTAATAACTAACAATAATCAATTTTAAAATATTTATAATCATAAAACCTAAATGATATTGTTTACTTCTGACATTTTTCAATGTAAATTATGTGAGAATATAAACAACAATCAACATTTATTTGCATGAGGTCAGACTGACCCATGGTACCCAACACAGTTAAGTAATACTAGAATATTAATTATGATTCATTGATGATAATAGAGGTTATCTTCCTGCTGTGGTTACCAATTAGGAAAACACTGGTTTTTGTTTGTCTGTTAGGCCTAAGAGGTTCAAGTTGTACTTTTTTCCAGGGCTGTGGAGTCGCGTAAAAATCTACCGACTCCAACTCCGACTGTTTTTTACCATCCGACTCCGACTAGGGGCAGACTTGTTACCGAAAGAGACCCGGAAATTCTGATGTCATCACGTGACATCAGAATAAAATATTCAATAAATAGAGTTGTAATAAAGATAGAGCGTAGAAACTTTTTATTCCAAAGCTAAAAGACTTCTCTAAGTAATATATAAATATTTATTCGATAGTTTTTACTTTTCCAGCTGTTATAGGCCTGTATAACAGAGGAAAAGTGTAGCACTCGGTCAAAAAATGACCCCTCCCAAATTTTTACATTTTTGGACTCGGGACACCTTGAAATTTTGAGATATGCAAAAGATTTGAGGTTTTTTCTATATGTGTGGATGTTAGACTGTGTGCGGGGGGCATGATTTCGTTCACCCTGTTTGAAGCCTAATAATTTCTGTGGTCAGAGTGGTCAGAATACGAGTCGGATGGTTTAACACAGGAGTTAGTTATTTAAGTCAAAGTGGTTGAACTAAATCGTGTCCCCATATACATTCTAACATCTTAAGCGACAACATCTTAACGGGTTCTACTGTACTATTATAAAATGACAAAAAAGCGTACTTTGAGGGTAAAGACGAGTTTTATTTTATTTTTTTAAATTTTGAACGCTAAAAACGAGTAAAATATTCATTAAGAGATATGACACATGGCCACTTTTATGTCTTCACCCTGTCCACCTTTAATTAAGAACCAAAATTTAATAGTATTAATGCCCCTTTATATGCAAGCCACAGTGCCACATTTCGTTTCTTAAACTTTACCCGTTCTGAGATATTGTTTAATATCTCAGAACAGAAAATAAAGAAATTAAACAAATTAGACGCCAACACACGCGCGCGCGAATTTTTCCCCTTTATTGACTTTTTTGAGGGGGTTCGGGAGGTCTCCAAACGTGTGGATTTGCAAAAAAATAAAAAACTTGGAGGGTCAAATTTGACACGATTCCAATACTTTTCCGTTTTATATACATAACAAGCTGGTAAGTAAATAGGAGTCGGAGTTGGCGGATTTTTTGACGACTCCGACTACGACTCCTGCTAAAACATCAAAACTCCACGACTCCGACTCCACAGCCCTGCTTTTTTCAATTTACTTGTAATAGTTCACAATCGTTAAAAATATTGTAAATATTATTAAATTTTTTCTAAAGTTCAACAAATAACCCACATGTGTATCATTGCATATATTCAAAATTTCAGGAAACATCTGACTATTAAAAGATGTTTAATAAGTGTACTTATGGTTGTAAAACTTACATTTGAATTAAACTTAGTATAAGATTCTATGTATGTCTTGTCTCTTTAATCTGACGTTAAGTTCGGTAGACTATCATTACAGCTTTCAGGTTAGACACTTCCACATATTTGTTTCCACATATGCATTTCGGACTTATATAAATGTTAAGTCCCTCTTCAGTGCAATACTATGGTTCTGTCTCCTAAAACCATGGTGTACAATGGGTAACATTGGAAAGATTTTAAAATACAGCCATTAAAAACACCTCAAATATCCAAAAGTGATATTTAGAAGAATATTGAAAACATGTGGATCAAGAAAACAGGTTTTCCGTATTAATGGTGAAAATTACACCATTGTACACTGTACATTGTACACTGTGGTTTTAGGAGACAGAACCATAGTATTGCACTGAAGAGGGACTTAACATTTATATAAGTCTGAAATGCATATGTGGAAACAATAAAAGAAGTGTCTAACCTGAAAGCTGTAATGATAGTCTACCAAACTTAATGTCGGATTAAAGAGACAAGACATACATATAACATTACAACAGCTATCCAAAAGTGATATTTAGTATAAGATGTTTCACTCACCAGCTTGTTATCACAACAGTTAGGCTGTTTAAAGAATGAGTAAAATAGGTCTCCCATATACAAAATTATTTGGATATTTCATCACAAGTAAAAACAAAAGACATAGTAAATATGAAAAGTGGCTTTACTGTAGCATGTCATACAAACTCCTTAGCAAGAGACAGAAACAGACAACTCAAAAATGACTTAATACAGTGACTAGGGTCTAAAGCCACGAAAGAATTGCTTTGATATAACTGTTAATGTTTCAATGACTTTCAGAATAAAATTAATATTTTATTTGCAGTCTAAAAAGATCTTTCAGTTTTTGATAATTTTCCTGTATTTATATCTGTTAAGACACCTATCCAGTAAAAAATTTTTCAGAATAGTGTTCCAGTGCATTTGCCTAAATATACCACTGACAATATTGCCTGGTTGGAATTTACCAGTAGAATTCTGCAATGACCCACAAGAAGCTTTCTATTGCACGCAAATTCTTTTCCTGTGCCTCACAGGTGTGCATCTGACTCAATACAACGAAGAGCTGTAGGAATACCGAAAGCCAAGCAAGTCTCGACCCTGGGTTGCAAGGGAATCAAATGTCCATCCTACAGTGTTTGAGGTTGTGGCAGCAGTTCAATGAGATTGAGTGACTTGGCTAGATCTTGAAACAGCACCAAAGAGTATAAAACTGTGGGAAGATTATTAGCAGCTTTAATCATAAGGTGTGACAGATTATGCATTGCCAGACAACTGTCTCCAGAACTCTGTAGTCACTGGGATAAATGTTATGTGGGCCTTTATACCAAGAAACTTGTAGTTTATGTATTTCTAATTTCTTCTCATAGAAGAGATTGAATTTCTGTAGACAGCATCATTCAAACATAATCAAAATGACTTGTGTTTTCTTTACAGACTAGTTCTTGTTATTCCATCTGAAGGAACAAGAGACTGGAACCTATTATCTCTCTTTAAATATCAGAAAATGGGATTAGAATGGCACCACCGTAAACAGCCACACACCCTCCATGTGTTCAAGAGAAATAATTTGAATATTGTATGCTAATTTCTACTTTATTAACATAGACAAACAACTGTATTATGCTTTCAAAGAATTTTTAAGCATAAACTTTTTGATTTATTTAAAGAATGAATCTCTTAAACTTTCAATGTATTTCTATGCTATGTGAATTCTTGTTTATGTACACACATTCCAATTAATTCCTGCATTAAATTTCACCCAAATTATGCTATATAAAAAATCGGTGAAAAGAATATTAAAAGGCTATTGATGATAATGATTAATTTCTTTATTTAATTTATATTTTTCAAAAGGTCAAAACTTTTGAAAAATGCCGCATGCCTTTGTATGGACACCTCATACTCATTTTCCATACCTCAGATACTTGATACAGAATTTATCAGTTCAATGCAATCTTTAACATTCCTATTGGCACAATTAACTTCAAATAATGTACAGAATACAAAATTGGCCATATCAAAGAAATCATACCAAATTTTAAATCTATGTTTTCCATTTAAAGGAGGAATCTTTTTATTATAATTTGTTACAAATAAATTGGTTTTCTGTTATTTGCAGCCACGTTGATGTAACATTACCACAAATATAAAAAATAATATGTTTTTACTTCAAACAAAGACACACATTACTTTTCTATTTATTTCCAGAATTTGCCAACAAAAAACTAAGAATTACAACTCTGACATTACAGTTTGACATTGTTTAAACTAATCAAACATCCCAATTTTAGTTTCTACACTAATATTTGTCGGCGTCTCACAAAGATACAGAAATTAAACTCGACCCTTTCTTCCCGAGTGACAGCGGTAACGATACATTTGGCACAAACGTTATAAAATTTTAAAGATGAACGAGAAGCCAATAATTAACTGTATATAAATGTTAAAATCGGTTAAGTGGCTTACAAAGTATCGAACTGTTGCAGAGAACGATCTTTAAGTTTGGGCAGTCTGTTGTAGAAAGTCCTGGAATTTAGCATAGCATATTTTTTAAATGTTTTGTAATTTATTTTAATGGTTTAATAATTTTGCTAAAACTGAATGTTTGAATTTTTATAAAAATAGCACCTAAATACAATTTGACATGAGAATTATAACAATAATTTTGATTTTATTTAAATTCAATATCAAATGCTTAGACGGATGGCATAAAAGTTATTCTAGATGTGCAGATTTTCCAAAATCTGCCATTTTTATCAGTAAAACAAGAGAATTTTTTTTTTCAATTATGTATCATGCCTTGACAGATCTTTTTGTGAGATGTGCAAGATTTAAAAGTTTTGATCTAATATTATTCTCTTATTTTGAACTTGCTGATCAAAGAGTTTCTACTTTTAGATAGGTTTCGTCCCTCCGAAGCAAGATAAAAGCCTGGATGCAAAACATAATGCAAGTCTTTGCAAGAGTCGCCTTTTTCGGGCAGATTCAAATACGGATATAAAACGTTCCAACTGCTGTCAAAGTCTAAATGCAAGTTGAAAAGACAAATTTTAAAGGCTGTCCAAATATAATGAAGTATCTAATAGTTATAATTCTTGAGTATGCGATACTACTATATTCTGACTAGGAAAAATGGCATATAAGTTACTTTTTAGTTGCTATTTGTGACTATAAAACTTGCATGGCAATATATTTTTATTCGATAAACGAATTGCATGATATGCTGGATAATACTTTGCCGTCGATGCCTTAAAACTAACAATAAATACGTCGAAAAAATTTCTGGATGTTGAAACAAATATTGTAAGTAAATTACTTTTTACAAAAAACTGTACAAGTTAAATACTATAAAAATCTTAATATAAACACATTCATAAATTAAATACAATCTTTTCTTATATTATGCTATTTAGTCTGAAGTCTTAAGAGATCGTAAAGTAAACTTCCAATTTTTTAAAACGACTTTTAGAATTCTCATTTAAGTTTCATAATTATTTTCAATGGTTAGTATCAATAAAATAAAGCAATTACGAATGCAAAGATTCGGCGTTGACTCGTCTCAGTCGGAATTCTTGCGAGATTCAGTACGACAGAGTGTGTCCACGAAATCATCGAAGTCCTTCATGCTGGTCTCGAAGACTGCCAGTTGGTTCTTTATCTCTACCACTTGTTCTTCGAGTGACGGCTGGCTTTCGAATGAAGTGAGGGGAGGCGCAGACTGGCATTCTCGGAAAAAAGCGCCCAGGTCTCCATTTCCGCTCCAGTCGGCAAATGATGGTTTCTGTTAAGTAGGCCAAAATTCAAAAAACAATTATTACATACAGACTTAATATTTACATAAACCAAATATCTTAAGGATGATAAAACAGATATGTTGATAATAGTTGAGGATTATATCGTGTCATCGCAAACAAAACTTTTAGGACAAGTGGAGTTAAATTCTCAACATTGCTTTATTTATGAGCCAACGATAAGTTGTCACTTTTTTTTTTATCTTGTACAATATTTTGACAGATATGAATCTGGAGGTGTTTTGGGGCATGATCAACAACACATCACCATATATAGCAACATTAAAAAGTTCTATCCGTGCAAGAAGTTTTGCAATTAAATGAAGTTCAGTTAGATCTTATTGCTATCTTAGACTACCCTTTGTGTTTTGTCCTTTTATTGGCAAGGTAAAGCTAAGTGAAATAATGTATAGTAATCATTTGCTCATTTATCACATGATATTTTTAGAAATCTTACCCTAGACTAAAATATAAATACTTTGAGTGATAAAATGTTAATGAGATGAACTTTACTTGGCATTTAAACTTCTTTTTGTCAATAAAATACCTCACTTGCAAGGTAAATTGTTTAATTCATTTAAGCTGCCAAACATTTTTTAAATAGTAACATTAGTACTTGTGCAATTGTTCTTGCATCAATGGATATGTATAAATCCAGAATGTAGTTGAATTTTTTTTCTATGGCCAAAGATATTGACTGTAAATTCAAATCTTGTCTTGCTTACCAATCATTATGAACATCAAAGAGCAAGTATCACTTAACTGCTTTAGTTTTCACACTATGATAATGCTATGTATTAAAACTGTTCATTAATAAAATAGAATTACAATATTGAAGATTGTGTTTTCATGTTTTTATTGTACGAAAGTATAAATGTCTTTTTAGTTAAAGTTTATAACAAGCTTCTAACAAATCATTTTTATTACATATCAACAACTATTGATAATACTATTACTTGAATTTCCATCTGTTTGTTTAAGGCCTGCTAAACTACTTAATGCAACAATAAAATTTAAGACAGGAAAACATCCCACTTACCAATTCAACCATAACAAAATCGTAAGGAGAATTTTCGCTTCCCGAAGATTTACGATAATTGCAGTCTTGAGGGTTGCTGTTCAAATCCACAAAATTTCCATATTTCTTGCGAGTCACATTATTACTATTGATGGCATTTCTGTTTGCGGTCTCCATGTTTGCATTCCTGTCGACCACGTCTTCCGACGTCCTCTCCTTTTTACCATCTGCTGGCCCGTCCGAAATGGGGTTGTTGTCACTGTCATTCCGGACCAGATTTAGAAATGGCGTGTCGGGCAGTAGCAGATCCGGAAGCGGAGAGGGATCCGGACGCCTGTTGCTTGGAACGAAGGCACCAACTTTTGACTCAGTGAGACCGAAGCATTTTTCTCTAAAAATAAAATGCAATTACATAACAATATTGAGATCATAGCAAAAAAAAAAAGTGAAATTTATGTTTCTGATTTAAGTTTAATAACTTTCAATTTATATGAAAAAATTTTTTTCTTGTACAACACACACAATCAGATAAAATAAGAAAATTGTCACAAATTTTTATGCAAATAAACATTATGCAGTAAGTCTTGGAAACTTGACTCTCAATAATTCAACTTTCCGTAAAACTCACTGTATTGTTCAGAAAAAAAATTTAATCTAATTTTTACCTCTATAACACTGGGATCAAATAAGTTATTGTTCTTCACAGATGCTACTTGATAATAACAACAATTCAATGTATTAACAAAGAATATAACCCTTATTCCAAGGTACCACTGAATAGCGAAAATTTTGAAAGTTTAACTACAAATAGAAATACAGTCAACCCCCGTATAACACAGTAGATATGTTCCGCTTTTTATGAAATTCATGTTCTACGAGTCCTTAAATACATGAGCCAATCACAGCTTGGCACTTATGCAGTTTACGGACTACGGCTGTTTGAAAGGTTTTCTTCCATAAAAGTAATCGATTCTAGACTAATTTGACTCAACATTTCCAAAATACATATAATTTTTTGGGAATAATCCATATAAACTATGTTATAAACAAAAAATTGTAGGATTACTTACTGAGTTTGCACCGTTAGACGATGCCATTGCTTAAGCTTGTTTTCGTCGTGGAGCGGCACATCAAACGGTGGGTGCTTGTTTCCTGATGCATTATTTTTCTGCGAAAAATTTGCTGAACTTTGGAGACATCCATCATTAATATAAATATAATTTTTATGGCTGTTAAGTAAATAATAAATGGTTTTTTAGTAGGTCCACTGCTCGTTTAAACTCAATGGTTTGTGTAATATCCGCTATTGGTCTAGATTCGACCAATCCTGTCACGACACGAGTTGGTGATGACGTTTTACTGTATTTTACAAGTTTCTTTTAGCGTCTTTATATGAATACGGTTGCAATTTTTTCATCACTATATACGAATCCGCATTATTATGAACCTGTTTTATAGGGGTCTACTGTAGTCATTATTGGTACATAGTTAATACATATATTAATTTGCACATGTAATACCTTTTGAAAATTCTGCTATTCAGACTAGCACTATGCCAAGAAACTCTTCATTTTGGTAACTCGTCACCTTCTCAGTACACATTAAACCAGGTTTGTGGGATTCTACTGTGTATATGTAAAACTGTTAAACATTCATTAGTCAAACCTGTCTATAATGGAATCCCATGGTACTGATCAATTCTTTCATAGTCGATAGGTTTCCACCATATACAAGTTATCTAGTACATGTAAAATGAAATGTCTTCAAACCAAAGACACGAGGAAAGATTAAATTACTTCATGAAAAACATGCAAATCACTTCTTTATTCTCCTTAATGCAATTTTTTTAATATTCCCTTTAACACAGAGGATGATCAGGATTTGTAGTAGTAGTCAAGTAAAATAATTTGCACTGAACTTCTGTACGTAACAAAGTACATATAGTAACACTAGATTACTATTTAAATGTCACATGTAATCAATTGTGCCAGTGTCAATACAGTCAAATATTTTTCTGCAGACCAGTGAAATTTTTTCACAGACTGGTGGTTGAAAAATACTGCTCTAAATCATTTTCAGTTGCAACTTCACTTTAATACTTGTGTAATCTTCAGCAAATATATTCCCAAAGTAGCATTATTCAGAGTTTTGATGCTGGCACCATCTTCGTTCACTACTAATTTCAGCTGCTTCTTCCTCATCATTACATAGAAAGTTTGATTTTCAAAAGAAAGATCTGATTGCTGCTGATGACGCTTTCCTGACTGCTTCTGCTATCCACAGTGCTATATCCAGTAGATATGGATCAGGTGATCTCAGCTGCAAATGAACTGGATTCCATCTTTGTGATAATCAATCACAAAATCGATCGGTGATAGTTTAATCTGACATATTTTATCACACCTAAGTCTAAGGGCTGCATGATCCATGTTGTTCCAGCAGGAAACCATACAAAACCTATGTTCAACAATTCAGTATGAAGATGGCATGTTGCATTGCCCAAGAACAAAAGAATGCAATTCTGACTCTTCATACTATTGTTAAATCCTTTGAGCCATTCTTCCATTGAATCAGTTATCATCCATGCCTTTCTGTTTAATTTCCATATAACAGTAAGTTTTCTGATATTCATGTTCTTAAATCTGAACATGGCTGATTTTTCTATGACTGGGTTTCTGTCTCCCTGTCTGAATGCACATACAAAAACAGTCAGGTGGAGTTTAGAGTGCTTTCTACCCAAGCAATATTCTCCCTTCAGATACAATTTTGTTGAGAAGTGCTTCGTAAAAAAAAAGCTAGTTTCATCACCCTTGGCAATATCTTTGGGCTTGTAACCCTCCATAAGAACCATTTGTCTTGCAGACTATTCTGATATAGATTCTTCTGGAGCATCTGCCAATTCTCTGGAAAGGGTCTTGAAAGCAAGTGAATGCCTCTTTTGAAAATTCTAACCAGCTCTTTGATACTTTAAAGTCCATATTTTACCTAACAACTCAGCAGCTTCCTTTGCATTTTCTTGCAATGTAGGGCCAGAAATAGGCAAGTTCTTCATCTGTAATGGCTGTAAATCAGACCCAAATCATGTCATTAATTTCCTCACTGCCATTCTTCCTAAACTTTCTTTTTGTGGAGCCATTTCCCTTCAAAATGTCAAACCTGTAATTAGAAGCCTGTACCAATCTGCTGAATTTGCACTATGACAAAGACAATGACAATTTAGCTATACCTGTGTTTTTCCTATTTTATACATCTCTGCAATTTACTTCAAAGTCATGTTCATCTTTTGATGGGCTTCCACAATCCTAACTTTCATGTTAAGATCAATAGAACCATTTCTTTGCAGCTATGATGTGGGCTTGAGGAAGTAAAGTAAACTCACAAGTGACTACAGATAATCAATATGACACACTGCACTTGATCAATACTAACTATCCCTGTTTTTTGGGAAGATAGGTTGAAAGGTTGCAAAATTTTGTAACAAGTGCAAATGCTGTAAGTCAATTTTCCATAGCATGTATACTCAACAATCATTTTAAAATACAGTAGCCCCTTGTTATATCACAATTTTTTGTCCCCCAAATTTTAAAAGCATTTGAGTCAATAAATTTTAAATTAACAATTGCCATGGAATTTTTTTGCAACCAAATATGGTATTTTATTCCTACCATTGTCCTTGAAACTACCACTGTAGGTGAAATAATACATTTGTCAAGATCTAAATAAACAAAACAGATTGACAGATCAATTATTTGTTTCCTTTTGATATTAAAAGTTGTTTATTTATTGGTTTTAAATGCTGTCTCCTCATTTGCAAGTTTCTGTGAATTCAAAACTTTATTTTGCTTTTTAGAGAATTTTTACTCTGTAATTTTATAAGTTTTGATGTTTTATTATATTTTCAATACTTATTTTTTAAATTTCAATTACTGTATTTATCATTTTTATTGAACAATGTAAATTACACGAATTTTTAATATGCAATTTATTACGAAATATAATAAAATTGCAAATAATATTTTGTTTTTATATTGACAGTATTTGCCTTTAAATGTCATTGTTAAAGAAACAATAATGCTAAATGGATATTCATAGTAGTGATGTTTACATAAATGTCAATTAATATGATACAACTACTAATAAAATTCAGTATTGAAAAACTAAGCTATTTTATATCAGAAACACTTGCTGATTGAAAAACTAAGCTATTTTATATCAGAAACACTTGCTTATATCAGAAGCATGTATAATCTGTTTAGTAAAAGCCCAGAATTTTTAGTACTCAATTATATCGCACCACTGGATATATCATGCTTTTTCTTTGTCTCCTGATAAACATGATATAACGAGGGGTTACTGTATATTTGAACAAATACAACACGTGTGTTGCTAAAGTTAATATTTTATTTGGATTACCTTTTAAATCTTGCATCTTTATTATTTTCATTTCGTTCCATCTTAACATCCTTACGATCAAAACTTTGTGGACATGTCTGATTACCATTAGGAACAGAGCAACAAGTGTGGGGCAAGTTGCCATCTCGAGTAATTTTGTTCCTGTAAAAAAAATTAAATAGTCAGCATAAGCCATTTTGACAATTCTTTCTTCTAAGCATCTCAACAATACATACATACATAAAATTTGAAGAGTATGCTGAAGGATCAGAGCAACACCGATGACACTGAAATTTGGGGCTGGCATCCCGCTCGAAGTAATCACTTTTTACCAGAAATGGACAGACCTTCTCAGAACGCTGGGGTGTTATCGTGAGATTCGTCCTGTAGGCCACACTCAATGTCAGGGTTCCAACCGGAGTTGCCACCTGGCCGACCAGACACTCTTCGTAGCCATCGCCCAGCAAGTTGTACTGAAAACAAAATTGTGGGAATATAAAAACTTATACAATTTACTTTAGATATAATCTAGTCTCACGAAACATTCAGATTTTAAACACAGTAGTTTATTCATTATAATCATAGATATTGTTATCAGTTATTTATCTATACTAATATTATAAAGAGGTAAAGTTTGTAAGTTTGGATGTAGGAGGTAATCTCCAAAACTACTCATCCAATTTCAAAAATTCTTTCACCAATATTTAGAATGGATCTTCAAGGTGGACATAGGTTGTATATTATTCTGTTAAACATTCATATAAATTAAAAGATATCATCTAGGTAAGCGTTATATTTTTGGTGTCAGTGGGTGGCAAGGGGCAAGACGCGTACATATATGAGATAGGTGACAGCATGGCGCAGTTATGTGGTCGGCGAGATAAGCAGTGTCCAAACTTGTGCTGAACATTTGCCTATTTGTTGTCATTTAAAGTAATGAATATCTTTTGTCCCCTACGCATTCCTAAAACATTCTTCATAAAACATTCTTTCCTATGCTTGGCGCTATGTATGCGAAGAACAAGAAAATGATGACAATACGTAACATGCACATGAGTTTGAATATTTTAAAACTAAACATTCATTCTAAGAATGGAATCCGACTGTCCTTTTAACCTGAAGCAGACCTCAATGGAGGCCAAAAATGTTTGTTTTTACAAATAGTTAAGAAGTACCGGACAATAAAGGTTTAGTAAGTACGATTTTATGCAAAATACCGGTATTCGGATTAGAAGATTTGTGACTTAAAACATTGATATAAATTAAAAGATATCAACTAACTGATACCGTTCTAGTCACAAACTGAATTCCACATGGGCAAAACCACAAGCACAGCTAGTTATTACTAAAGTTAACAGATCTAAAAAAACTATATATATAACTCAGAAACCAATTTATAGTTAATGTCAAAGGAACTGCCAAACTACTATAGTATAATATGGCTATGTTAATTAAATACCAAATAATTTATCTAGTGGTAGGCAGTTATATTGTAATCTCATACTAGATTTAATAATTATAATCAATTAAATTTCTAAAAACATGCAAGTTAAAATACTCTTATAAAATTTTACTTATTGTAGTCAGAATTCAATTATAGTTGATAATTTACCTCAAGATAAAATGCTTAAAAATATTATTGTGCTCTCAGTCTCAAAATGTGGCTGATAACATGCAATCATTATCAGTGTTAATCAGTGCTTCATATGCTATGTCATTTGTTTGCTGTACAATAGTTTAAAATTGTTTGCATTTCTTGCTTCAGTCATTCTAGCTGTGGCTAAAGACAATATTGGAAAAAAGCATCTTTAAGCAAGCACACAAAACATTAATTCTAATTAGTAGTAAGTCAGTAACAATAAATCTTCAAGTTATAAAATTTTAATTCTTTTATCATGTCTGAGACAATAAAATTGGAATTTTCACTAAATGTAGCTGTATATACTTATCTGGCTTAATATTATTGGTTAGTTTTTGTTATCAGTATGTATGACTATAAATATATACAACTAGCTGTTACCTGCAGCTTCACCCGCACAGAATTTGTAATTTAATAGAAATAATCCTCCCTCGGTACTTCACTAAGATTCTCAATCAGTTGTTACTATAAAAACAAAAATTGCATCTAAAATATACAGCAGAAGCCGTTCTTCAGGTTAAGCCTCAATCCTTTCTCTCTTCCCCACGGGGGAATTTCTGAAAATCCCTTCTTAGTGTGCATATTCATGACATACCCTAACTGTGTACCAAATTTCATCTCTTTAGGTTCAGCGGTTTAGCTCTTGAGTCATGATGAATCACCCAGTCAGTCGGTCAGGATATGTAATTTTATATATTTAGATAATATATAATCTTATTGTAATCAGTACAAAGGAAAAATTTATTTAAGTTCATATAAAAAACGTTAACCACTTTCAGGCAGATCTTTTCAAAATAATTTTACTAATTTCACTCATTTTTATTCCAGAATCTTCTAAATCAATTAGTAAATATTAATTTTAATTATTAAATTTAATAAGAGATGACACCTAATGCCTAACTCTAGGCCAAATTACTTATCATTTAATTATTAATAGTAGTATTAACATAGCCTAATCTAATCCAGAGATTGTTTGCTTTAACTCATTTTCTATCATTAGTTAAATTACATATGCATAAAGATTTAAATTCCAGTTATAAATCCTAAATTTAAAATTTATATTCTAAATTTTTTGTACAGAAAAAAATACATGGATTTGCAATCAAATTTATATAGGTCACACTTCATTATTTATAATTGTATAAAGTATTTATTATTTATTAATGATCAAGTGTTTCATGATGAAAATGAAAGAAGAAACTTCTGTAAAATATTAGTCAATGTATATCTAGGAATAAAAATACACAACTTCTGTTACCTTCAAATGCAAATAAAAAAATATATTACTGTATTGTATTTAAAATGAATTTTTATTGCAACAATATTGTAAAAAAGTCTTAAGCTCCTATATACATAAAAGTATACTGGCCTATAGTTTTCTTATGTAGTTTATTCTAATAAAACAATTTTTTAAAGTTTTTGATACTATGTAATTATATTTCAAACAGAAGTAAAAGAGCACACAGAGATACTTACCACTAAATGGATCAAATTTTGATGATGAAATGGCTACAAAGTAATCATAACTGCAATGATGCTTTAAAATGTAATAAGCTGAATGATATAAACATACAAATTGCTAGTGTTTTTAATGTTATATTGTATTCTGTGAAATTATATTCTACCTACTAATTTCACTACCTACTAAGAATACAAGGTGTGGAGTTGTACTCAAGAATAAACAATAACAAAAAGCCATGTATGCATATGCAACATGGTTTTTTGTAATTTTTTTTGAACTTATAATCGAACTCTTATTTAAACGTCATTTCATACGACTAACCATCTAGGAACGGTTAAGAATCCGATGCAGAGCCCAGAAGGGGTTCGAAAACGTTCGTTTTTTATCACACCGTAATTGGTTCTGAGTGCATCATTAGTAATAACTCATTATAATAAGTAACTGCAAAACATTAGCTTGCACCTATATTGAATATATGAAAAGATTTAAAGACAGTATATTATTTTATCTCTGATCAGTTATGTGGATATGACTATGCATGGAAAATACAATATTGAATGTAAAATGATACAAAAATAAACAAATGAAGTCTATTATTGCCTGCATAGCTTTATATTTTAAATTGTTTACATTTTAGAAAAAGATGGTTGAAAACATTTATTCATCAAAAAATTATTGCTGATTTAAAGACTTTTTTGTTTTAAATTGTTTAAACTGTTTATTATTGCATACATACATTCCAATTCACATTGAAATATTATTTCAGAAAATTGAGTTGTATTAAATACTTTGTAGCTATACTCAATCTCTTATTATTTCTTTGGGACTCAAATGTTTAACAATTTGTTCTTGTTTCAACTTTGAAAAATTAGAAAATGTCAGATTGAATATTGTACAATCAAATATAATATAATGCAAGTGTTCTAATAGTATAACCATCTGAAAGATGATTTTACATACTAATAAATTTGATGGAAATATTTTATTAAATTTTAATTTAATAATAATAATACAGTAGAGCATCGATTATCCAACTCAATTGGGGACTCAGGTTAGTCGGATAACTGAAAAATCAGATAAATCGAAAAGAATGAAAAAAATACATTATTAGTATAGTATATTAGTATATCCCATGTAATTAGTATATTGCTATTAACCAACTTCATGTTGAACTTTCATCGATGTTAAGCCTAACAAATTTTTTTTAAAATAATAATCGTAGCTATTGTATCATTAAAAATTATTTTTAAATTACTTTATTGCTCACAAAACAAACAACCACTCATAATTAGAAAATTAAATCTCGTTTAAATACTGACCACCCTACAATGGTTGAGCCGTAGTTGCCAGCTAATACACGCAAAAATTTAACAAAAATAATATTAAAGCCAAGACATAGCCAAATATTGTAGTGCCACATCACTAGCGGACATTTGAAATTTGCCAACTAGAACGGTCAGTTAACCGATGTGACGGTTCATCGGGGGTCGGATAATCGATGCTCTACTATAATAATAATAATAAATTTTTTCTTTTAAAAAAACAATAAAATATAAATTTTAAATGTGGCTTTTAATTTGTTAAATGTCATTTATAACAATTATTATTAGCTATAATATTAAATTGTTAAAATCTATTCTATATATAGAGAATAGGCTTAACTTAAAATTTTCATGAAATTTTTTCCATTATGAAAAACCAAAATAGAAAAGGCAGCATCCTGAGAATTTTTTATGAATAGTTTATATTGGAAACAAGTGGACTGTGGGTGAGGGGCAAGTGAATGAGTTAATCAAATCACATAATCATGGAATTAGAACATTTTTCTGTGAAACATTAAAAAAAAATATATCACAATGTTTGACCAATTAAAAAAAAAAACAGAATTTTTTTCCTGGAATCTGAACACTATTCTGTTATAAACAATATGAAAGTATTTTTTTGTGATTTGAATAAAAACTGATTTTTTCCAGTTAATTTGAGTGTAGAGATACATTTCAAAACAAATCTGAAACTTAGTCAAGATATACAAATTATCATAATAAAACATTATTCTGATCACTTTTTGTCTGTTGTCTTACTTTGTAATTTTGTGATAGTATACTGTTTCCAAAGACAGATTTATCATACTGGCTTAAACATGGAACAGAATCCAGTGTGATAAGTCTGTCTTTGAGAAAGTGCACTAGCACAAAATATACTAACAATGAAATATGTCACCAAAAATAAAATAAAATGTAACTAGTAACAACATTAAATATTCTTGTTTATGATAAGTAAAAAAAAAAAACAATTTAGACTTTTGCTTAAAACAAATACCTGTGGATTTCCCATATAAACTTTATAGCAGATGACATAGGTGTCGTGACCCT